TTTGTTTTTAAAAAAATATGCTTATAAAGAAAATGTGCTTATATAGGAGGTGACTATAGAGAGGTCTGACTGTATATTAAATTTGACCTCTATAACTGTCACATTTCTTTACATTCACCCATTTTTGTATCCCGAGTGTGTGATTATAGAGAGGTTTGACTGTAGTGATCTCACTAGAACGGTCCAACAACAACACGCCATACCTGATACGACTGTACGTGCTGTGCTGTACGCGAAAAAAAAAATCCGACTTCCGACCAGCGTTGGAAATTCAAAAGACCAAATGATGATTTTTTTTATGTTCACAAAAAATAATGATCACAAATAAAATTTTAAAAATTATTTATGTTCACAAATGTGAACGTAAAATAAAAAAATTGATTTTTTTAAACATATGATTTCCAACACTGCTTCCGACCCAATATGAATAGCATATTAGACATTACTTTTATTTGTTTAGAAATATCTTTTATTCGATACTTATTTATAAGGTAAATATTTATTATTGATATAATATTAAAAAGTATACACATATTTATACACATTTATATTTATACATATCTATATATCCTTATGATGTAATAATTTAACAATAGAAAATATACTGTAGATTAAAAAAAATAGCTATGTTTGGCTTCATTTACTTCTATTGCCATATGTACTTAACCCAGCTGTGTACTTCATCACCGGAATCAGTATAAGAAACGATTTCTTCGCAATCAGGACATGATGTTGGTAGTGCTTCGCTCTGGCTTTGTGTCGGTTGCACTTCAGTTTGAATTTCAGTAGGAATTCCAGTAGGTGATATTGATGGTAACGATTCGCTCGGGATTTGTGTTTCAATAGAATAAATTGTTGGCTGCGACGTTTCGCTCGATGTTTGTGTTTCGGTTGGAAAAGGACAAGTTGTTGACGGTGGCGCTTCGCTTAGAGTTGGTGTTTCTATCTGTATTTCGGTTAGAGTTTCAGTAAGAACAGGAAAAGTCGTTGATGGCAACGTTTCAATCGGAGCTATGTTGGTATTTCCTTTAGAGTTTGTATCGGTACTTCAGTAGGGGTTAAGATTGTTCAATTTTCTTACCTTCATGAGCTTCAAATTTTTCATCGAACTTTTCCGGAGATTGTTTACTTTCTTCACATGGTTCCGGAGGTTGTTCGTTTTCTTCTTCATATGGTTCCGGAGTGTGTTCGCCTTCCTCTTCATATGGTTCCGGAGGTTGTTCATTTTCTTCTTCACATGGTTCCGGAGGTTGTTCGCTCTCTTCTTCATATGGTTCCGGAAGATGGTCATCTTCCTCATCATATGGTTCCGGAGGATGTTCACTCTCTTCTTCACATGGTTCCGGAGGTTGTTCGCTCTCTTTTTCATGTGGTTCCGGAAGTTGTTCGCTCTCTTCTTCATGTGGTTCCGGAGGTTGTTCGCTTTCTTCTTCACATGGTTCCGGAGGTTGTTCGCTCTCTTCTTCATATGGTTTCGGAGGTTGTTCGCTCTCTGGTTCCGGAGGTTGCTCGCTTTCTTCTTCATATGGTTCCGGGGGTTGTTCGCTCTCTTCTTCACATGGTTCCGGAGGTTGTTCACTTTCTTGTTCGCTTTCTTCATGTTGTTTTGGAGGTTGTTCGCTTTCTTCTTCACATGGCTCCGGAGGTTGTTCACTTTCTTCTTCACATGGCTCCGGAGGTTGTTCGCTTTCTTCTTCACATGGCTCCGGAGGTTGTTCACTTTCTTCTTCACATGGCTCCGGAGGTTGTTCGCTTTCTTCTTCACATGGCTCCGGAGGTTGTTCACTTTCTTCTTCACATGGCTCCGGAGGTTGTTCGCTTTCTTCTTCACATGGCTCCGGAGGTTGTTCACTTTCTTCTTCACATGGCTCCGGAGGTTGTTC